GCTTATGAGTTTGAGGCCAGTATGGGCTAACAGTGAATTCCAGATTAGTCTTGGCTACATAGCAAGAATTTATCTCAAAAACAAAACAAAACAAAACAAAAAAACTCTCTAGAATGAGTTGGAGAGTAAATTATGTAAAACCTGGTTTCTTTCTCTTTTTTTGGTCTTTTTGAGACAGGATCTCCCTGTAGCCCCAGCTGTCCTGGAACTCACTATGTAGACCAGGCTGGCCTTGAACTCACAGAGATCCACCTGCCTCTGCCTCCCAAGTGCTGGGATTACAAGCATGAGCCACCATGCCAGCCTCAGCTACCTCTTGAAAGCAAGCCCCGTCTTTCACTTCAGTGAAGCAAGCCAACCCTGTGGAGGGCACGGCCTGCATTAACTGGGGCAGACGGCCTTACCCACTGTGACGAGGTGGCTGTAGGTCTCCAACATCATGTCCCTGTACAAGACTCTCTGGGTAGCATCCAGGTATTCCCACTCCTCCTGAGAGAAGTCAACAGCCACATCCCTAAATGTTACTGAGCCCTGAAACCACAAACACAAGTATAGTGATGCTGAGGGACACTTTCAAGATAGAACAGCAAGAAAGTGGCAATATGGACATGCCCAGGGTGCCTGACTGCCGCATCCTGGAGGAAAATATGCAATAATGTGCATTCCATATCAACTGCATCCTTGAAGCCATACCCCAAAAGAGAGGTGTTCCCTGAGTTCAGAGCAAAATGCCTTTAAAAATTAGGGTTTACCAAAAGGAACATCTCAGTCCCTGACTTTATTATGGTATCAGATGATAGCACACAGATTATTTTTTTTATCATGACAATGATCAGGTTTAAGAGTCTATTAGGTTTAACCTTTTTTGATTTTTTTTTAAAATACTTTCAGGATGCTCAGTGTGTCTCAGGTCTTCCCTAATTCTGGGAGCCTATAATCACTGCCCACTGGATGGCCTTTTCCCTCTGCCCACTGAGTATCTCCCTTAAAGCCTCATCGAGCGGACCATCTTCTCACACATGCAGACTGAGGCCATTTACCATCAAACCCTGCATCATCTGCCTGAAAACTTCAAATCTGGGGTGAGATTTCCACGTTTCCAAGTGCAATCAAATGAGACCATTAAAACTTCTCAAAACCCTAAAACCACTTTCCCTGTGAGACTAATGCCTCAACAGCTGCAACAGTCCTCCTGACCACAGACTAAGCAAAGAAACCTCTAGTATGCCAGACGGAAGGAGACACGAACAGGAGGAGCGCTAACCAAGCCTTGCTGTAATAGGGAAGACTGCAATGTAGGATTTTGGATCCTAAGAAGCTTAGGAAGAGAAATGGTAACAAAGACTCACCTGATCTGAAAGTCATCAAAGATAAGAGAGAAATACAAACTTACAGGGACCATGTTTGCAAAATTTCTGTTGGCCAATCTTCTTGAGGTTCCCTCTGGAGAACGAAGAGAACGCCTGCATCAAGTGGTGCTTCACTGTTCCCCAAGCAGCTTCAATCAATAGACTGCATCTGCTACTTCTGTATCTCAAGTACCCCCATGTGCACACCGCTCTCCCAACACACACACACACACACACACAGAGGTTAGAAGCAGACAGAGTCCACATAGACAGCATCTCCCTGTAGCCCCAGCTGACCTGGAATTCGCTATGTAGACCAGGCTGGCCTTGAACTCACAGAGATCTGCCTGCCTCTGTATCCCAAGTGCTGGGATTAAAGGCCTGCGCCACCACGGCCAGCCAGATTCTCTCTTAAACCTCAGAGAACTCACAAGGCACAAACACAGAAATGCAGAACCTAAGCACTTCTGCCCGAGTTCCTCCAAAATATCCCACAGAAGGGATTCTGGCCAGCCCTTCACCCTTGGAGCCGGGCCCTCATCTTCCTACCTGTGTCCTGCCTCTCAGGACTGAGAAGGGATGGCATCATCCAAATCAAAACTTTTGTGAACTGGCCTGGGTGAGTTGGAGTGAGGCTAGAGAGGATGCTGTGGAATTGCTTGGGCAGTGATCGGCATTCAGGACCCACTCTTTAGTAAATGGGATTCACGCACTATCCAAATTTTGAGAACTATTGCTCAGTGTGAAGACTGCTTATATTATATCAATTAAAGCATGATTCTTTATGGACATTATTAGTTACATAACATGTTATCACAGGAGGAAGGATTTGCTTAGTATTTCTGTATTATGGGATACTTATTATTATGGGATGCTTAGTTGACAGAATAATTTTAAATGTCATTCCAGGTGTCACAGTCTTTTGATTCTAGAACAGCGTTTCTCAACCTCGGCACTGAGCTGGATTAGTCTACGCTAGTGTGGTGGGAGGGCTACCTTGTGCTCCGTACAGTGCTTAGCAGCATTCCTGACCTCTACACACAAGACCTCAGTAGCACATACAACCCTGGGTGACAACCACAAATTCCTAAGACATTGCCTGAGGAGTTGCATTCGTTCACTTGAGAACCACTGCCCTAGCCCAGCAGGTGTCGGCTTTTGGTTCAGGTACATTTCCTGTGGTTATGTTTGTTTATTTGTTCATTTGTTTTTTGAGACAGTCTTGTTAGCCCTAGCCCAGGCTGGCCAGGCAGAGATGACAGGCGTGTACCACCATGCCCAACTCTCAAGTATATATTTGATAGCTTGTGAAATTATACATATTTCTCTGCTACAAACTTCACATTTAAAATTCTCATTTTTCTTTTTTGCTACTGCACATTCCCGGACAGCTATCCTGCGAGCCGCTCTTCCCGTCTCCACCTCCCATGTCGCCAGAAGAGTGCTGGGATTACAATTATAGACATATGCGGCTGCATGTGCCTTTACATCAGTTCCCAGAATTCAAACAGAGGTCCCCCTGCCTACGGGATAAGCACTTTACCCACTGAGTGATCTCCCCAGCCCACATTTATTAATCTCTATAATAATTCAGTATATGACTTCATGGCAATTATGAATTTCTTTACTTCATAAGTTTTTTCATTACTAAGGCCAGATATGAAGCCACAGGAAGTCAGATTAAGAAGTTCTGTCTTGGGGGCTAGAGAGATGGCTCAGTGGTTAAGAGCACTAGTTATTCTTTCAGAAGACCAAGGTTCGAATCCCGCACCCACATGGCAGCTAACAACCATCCATAACTCCAGTTCGAGGGGATCCAACTCCCTCTTCTGTTCTCTGCAAGCACTGCACAACACAGGTGCACTTACTTATATGCAGACATAACATATGCAGACATAACACTCATGCACATAAAATAAAAATATTTAATTAATTAAAATTAAAGTTAAAATTAAGAAAAGAATTTCTGTCCTGAGCTGGGCATAGTGGTGCAGGCCTTCAACCCCAGCACTCAGGAAGCAGAGGCAGGCCATCCTGGTCTACAAGGAGACTTCCAAGCCCTGCTGGGGCTACAGGGAAACTTTGTCTCAAAAAGATCCAAAAAAAAGGAAGACTTATTTCTGTCATGGAGACAGAGGCAGGAGGTCTGCGCCATGTTTCAGGCCAGCTTGATATACATGAATTCAGGCCAGCCTCTTCAATAAATGGTGCTGGCAAAACTAGATATTAAGACTCAGAATGTGAGACCTCTCATATCACAGGCAAAGTCAACTCAACAACAGATTAAAGATTAAAATATAAGAACTGAGCTGGAGAGATGGCTCAACAGTTAAGAGCACTGGCTACTCTTGCAGAGGACCAGGGTTCAATTCCCAGCACCCACATGGCAGCTAACAACTGTCCCTAACTCCAGCTCCAGGGGATCCAACAGCTTCTTCTGGCCTCTGTGGGCACTGCACAACACAGGTGCACTTACATGCATGTAGACAATACACTCATACACGTAAAATAAAAATAACAAAATATTTTAAGGATATGTGCCACCGTGCACAAAGATGTGTGACACCGTGGGTCATTTTCTTATTACATCACAATGGACTACTCCTAATGTTTCTGCGAATGACCTAAAATGATCACAAAAAGCAACAGCTAAAACATACTCTGCACTTATATGCCTGCCACTGCCCTAAAGGGCTTTACAATATTCATTGTGATGTTCATTACAAGCTTAGAGCCAAAAGGGAACAGAACCAAGACTCCAATCCAGATACTATGGATCCACATCTCCCAGTTTTTTCTAGAGCACTGTACCTGGCCAATATTACATATTTTGACTCGTGGACATTAGCTGTTGTTGATGCTGAATTTTGTGCAATCACTTTCCCACTCCCAAGAGCCTCACAGATGAATGTAAATCACCTACCATCTCCATTCTCCACTGGATGATCATGTGACTGGTAAGGGCAAGGGGACAATATAATGGGCCACAGCGGTGCGGATTATCAATTTGCATGATCCCCCTTCATTTACTGACAACTTACTAGAACTTCTATATTCCAAAACTATAATCTCTTTCTGAAACAGAAACAAAGAACAAACTCACTCTCGACTCTGAGACATGTAGCAACTGTGCTGCCATTCTGCCCCAAGCCCCTCTTTCAAATGACTGTGACAGAGGGAGCAGAAGCAAGCCTGAGACCCCAGGCTACGTGAGAAGGCATCCTCCGTGAGCTTTCCTTCACTCTGCAGAGAAGGGGATGCAAGTACAGCACGCGGAATGGCTGCTGGGCACAGAGACGATGGTAACACCATGATCTCAATTTTGTAGCTGCCCTCCTAGGCAACCCTCAGAGGCACTTCCAGCCCTCAAATGCCCATCCCAAGTCCAGAGATGTACCTTCTTATGAAAAGCTTCACCTCAGAGTCCGATCTGATCTCTGACTACTGAGGCTGCAGCCCTTGTGGCTGAAACAATGCAGGTATGATACCCAGATGTTGCAAAAAGAGCTCAAGGTCCAAACACGCACACATGCACAGCGCGCGCGCGCGCACACACACACACACACACACACACACAGATCCTGCAAAGAATTCCAGGTACAAACACCAGCGCACACTCAGATGCTTCAAAAAGAGCTCAAGGTACAAACACGCGCGTACACACACAGATGCTGAAAAAGAGCTCAAGGTATAAACACGTGCACACACACAGATGCTGAAAAAGAGCTCAAGGTACAAACGCGCGCACACACACCACATCACCCCACCGGCTCCCTCTCCGGCCCTGCTGGGTGGAGACCTACGCCAACCAGCGGTCTCCTCCTCCGACCACAAAGGCCTGAACCCCGCGGCGTTGCGGGGGGAGGGGGGGGGTGCCTGGACACCGGAAGTCGATAGTTAGTTCCGGCGCGGTGGCCACTGGGAAATACAGTCCGCATGTATAGAAGCCCGGGGCAACCTAGAGCTCTACGGTTTTGAGCGACCCCAGCTTGCAACTGCAGTCCCCACTTCCGGGGTCTGCGCGCAGTGGCTTGTGGGAGTTTCCATAGGGCTGTGCACTTGCAGGTAAGGATGCCTGGAGTAATGGAAAGGAAGTGCCTGAGCTGCTCATGCAGCGGTGGTTTTCCCTCTTACGGAGAATACAGACCAGCATAACTTGCAGAATCGCAAGTAAATTAGATCAAGATGTAGCTGCTTTGATTTCACTTTGAGACACTCCTCCCCCCAGGACATAACCTCTCTGCTGTGAGACTATGAAAAATATGAAAAGTTTGAACTAAAAAGTTGGTTTTAAACATGAAGAGGAGGGGTGGCTTACATCACAGAATTCAGAGTCAAATGTCCTGGAGAGGCAGGTGGTTGTGAGTTCAAGGCCAGCCTGGCCTTCTACACAGCAAGTTCCAGACCAGCTGATCCTGCAGCGAGACCGTGTCTCAAAAAAACATAATATTAGGGGCTGGAGAGATGGTTCAGGGTTTAAGAGCACTGACTGCACTTAGACCCGAGTTCGGTTCCCAGCATCCATATGGTGGCTAATACCCATCCGTATCTCCAGTTCCAGGGAATCACACACCCTCTTCTGACTTGCCGTGGGCATTGTATGACACGGGTGCACTTATATACATGCAGGCAGTACACCCATACACATAAAAAATAGTAAATAAAAGGTTAAAAGTAAAAGACCGTCCTCACAGTAGTCAAAAGAAGGGTGACTTCTAATTTTAAAAACAAGGCAGATTTAGGGATGAAGAATATTACCAGTAATAAGAAAGAGGGCAGTTCATAGTTGGGTGTGATGGTGCATGCCTGTAGTCCCAGCACTTGGGAGGCGGAGGCAGGCGGATCTCTGTATTGCCTGCGTGTATGTAAGTGCACCCGCATCGTGCAGTGCCTGTGGAGGACAGAAGACGGCATTGGATCCTTCTGGAACTAGAGTTATGAACAGTTGTTAGCCACTATATGGATGCTGGGATTTGAACTGAGGTCTTCTGCAAGAACAGCCAGTGCTCTTAACCACTGAGCCATCTCTCCAGCTCTGCTGTGTGGGATTTGGGGGCAGTCAAACACACAACTAGGTAGATGCTGTTGGCCATAAATACTTCATTAGCTACACATAAACTGAATTCCTACTGACTCTGCCCACCGGATCGCCTCTATTTCACCCCTCAGCCCTTTCTGCCTTTATCTCCTGCTGTGCCCACAAATATTCCCATTTCCCCCCATCACATGTGCAGCTCTGTCTCTTCAAATATTCCTCTGTCCTGCTTCACAGTGAGGTCGAAGTCATGTGTGGGGAAACCCTCCACTGCCTTCCATCCTCCCCATGGCTCCTTGATTCACATCTCATCCATTCCTTCTAGCTCTGCATTGTGTGGGTGAGCCACCCCCCTCCACAATGAAAATTGATTTCCATGATTCTGTCATGGATCTTGCTATTTTTAATTAATACCAGACCTTGATCTAATGAATAGTAAGTATGTCTGCTTAGGTCAATGATCCTGAGCTGCCAGCTTTCCCACACATCAGTACTGAATTCTGCCTACATCCCATGAAGTTGTGGATACCCTAGGCCAATGTTGTTTGAGAGAGTGGTGTTTGCTGTCTTGTTCTTTCCCCCCATTTATCATGTATGTGTGGTATGGTGTCCATGTGCATATTGCATGTGCACGGGGGGGTTGTCCATGTGCGTGCATGTGCATGGGAGGTATGCATGCACCTGCATGTGGCTGCAGAGGTTATGATTCGCTCATCCTCCAAGTTCTTCCCCCTTATCCATTGAGGCAGAACCTCTCAATCAAGCCCAGAGCTTACTGAGATGACTTGTCTTGCTAGCCATCTTGCTCTGGGGATGCCCTGTCTGTGCCTTCTGAGACGGAATTACAGGCCAGTCACCATGCATATCTGGCCCTTACTTAGGTTCTGTGGATCTGACTGGTCCTCACATTTGTGTGGTATGCGCAGTTTAACTGCTGAGCCATCTCCCCAGCCCCATGTCTTCCTTTCCTATGCTTCTTCCTTGCGTGTATTATTTTGTGTGTATGAGTGTTATGCCTGCATGTGCGTAAGTGCACCCATGTCGTACAATACCCATGGAGGACAGAAGAGGGCATCGGATCCCTTGGAACTGGAGTTATGGACAGTTCTTAGCTGTCATGTGGGTGCTGGGATTCAAACCTGGGTCTTCTGCAAGAGCAGTTGATGCTCTTAACCTCTGAGCCATCTCTCCAGATTCCCCCTTGCATGTGTTCTTGATCTATAGTCTGTTGGTGTTCCACTACTCAGTGTCATTTCATTATGTAACATGTTTTATGTCACTTCGCAGCCTTTTGACTAAGATTGTATGTGACATGGTATAATGTATTCTAGGTCCTCATCTGCTACTGAATTAATATACCTCCCCCCACCCTGACCTGTCCTTAGACACCCTTCTACCAAGTCTTTTTTATTTGTTTTGTTTTTGTTTTACACACTAGCCTGGAATTCACTCTAAAGCCTAGGCTGACCTTAAATTCCTGGCTGTTCTCCCATCTCAGCCTCCCAAGTGCTGGAATTACAGGCATAAGACACCACACCCGACTCTGAATCCTTAATAGAAATGATTCATAAGATTTCTAGCCATCCAAAATTTTTCTTTTATGAAACAGACCCTTCATGTTTTTTTGGAACACAGCAGGCAAGTGCATCTTCTCAAATCCCTCGTGTTTTAACTCTGGAGTTCTTTGCACCTGTAAGGAGTGTGAGACTACC